AAAAGAATGCAGCCAGGCCACTTGAGAACTGTACAATAGTCAAGACGCTAGTCTGTTTGGCTCTCTCTGAGGTTCCATGGACATTCATCTCCTCTGTTCTTCAGCTGCATGAGAGTGTATCTGCTGCATCTCCTCTGCAGACCGGCTTTGAGAAGTTTGAACTGAGCCCTAACTTTGACATATCACCACATTACACTCACTAACTACAATCTCTATATTGCTTACTTCATTTATCAAGTGGCCACACTGGTGCAATCATTTGAGGTTGTGTGGGCAAATGAAGGGAACGTGTCCCTGAGGGGTAATGTGCTGTGTGCTGTAGATTAGATGCCCCTGCAAACTCACTGAGGCTTAATCCCCACTGTAACTGTTGAGGGTGGGAGATCTTATCATGGTAATTGAAAGGTGGGGCCTTGAAAGGGGTAATTGAAAGGTGGGGGTGATTAGAATATAGGACCATGCTATAGTGAATGGATTAAAAATGGTGGCTATAGGTGTGGTTGGGGGAACTTTAAAAGGGGAGCATGAAAAGTCTGTCTCTTTCTCTCTGCTCTCTCTGCTTCCACTTTCTTGCAATATGAGACCCCTGGGTCACTGTCGCCACCACCAGATGGACTTTGGACTTCCCAGCCTAGAAACTGTAAGCATTAAATTTCATTTTTTTAGAAAAACAAGTCACCTAGTTTCCAGTATTTTATTATAAGCAACAGAAACAGACTAATACACTGTGTAATCCTGCCACTGAATCAGGAGTTACAATATAAGGGTCATTTCCTAAGAAGACGGCTGTGGGTAGGGAAAAAATCACAACTATAACTCCTATAATATCAGTTGCAGAAACCTTCTTAAGACTATTTTATTTGCGCATTCTCCCCTCAACTGCTCCTGGTTCTCTCTAATTGCTCACTACTAAATATGGGGCTCCCGCTAAAAGGCTCTTCCTAGCATTCCAAGATTTCTGTGACCTGGCCCTCCTGTGGCTTTCTGTACTCACCCCTCCTACAGGAACCTTCTTCTGCAGGTGGGTCTCCACCCCTCTACTCCTCCAATATCCCAGCTTGATCTGGAAGTTTCCCACTCTTTCCACATTTACTTACTTTTCCTTTAAAGTCTTATTACCCTTATGTAAGCTTTCAAGATGTCTCATCCTTCTTACCCACTCAAACATTTCCCGTTTGGGTGACATTCATTATGAGTGCATTTGGTCTTACCCTCTTTTTAGATGTTTCTACTTATTTCACCAAACAGAGAGTGTTTTTTCTTTTCCTCAGAAAAATTATTTATTTATTTATTTATTTTTATTTTTATTTATCAATATACAATGTAGTTGATTTTCATGTATCTTTACCAATTCCTCTTTCCTGCTTCTTCTTCCCTCTCCCCACTCATCAACATCATATCTCTTCACTTGTCTTAACGAGTTCAAGGAATTGTTGTGATTGTTGTGTCTTCTTCTCTGCCACCTCCCATTTGTTTGTATATTTATTTATTTTTAGCTCCCACAAATAAGTGAGAACATGTGGTATTTCTCTTTCTGTGCCTGACTTGTTTCACTTAATATAATTTTTTCTAAGTCCATCCATGTTGCTGTGAATGGCAGTATTTCATTCTTTTTTATAGCAGAGTAGTATTCCATTGTGTAAATATACCACAGTTTCCTTATCCTCTCATCTGATGATGGACGAGTGGGCTGGTTCCAACTCTTGGCTATTGTAAATAGTGCTACAATAAACATTGGAATACAGGTATCCCTTCAGCATGATGATTTCCATTCCTCTGGGTAAATTCCCAGCAGTGGAATAGCTGGGTCATATAGTACATCTATCTGTAAATGTTTGAGGAATCTCCATACCATTTTCCATAAAGGCGGAATATCTGTAGTATCTTCTACTGTTACATGTTCATACACAAAATTAAAAATAAAAATAAAAAGCTAAACTGGGCCTATTATAAGACCATTTAAAACTAATTTAGAATTCCCATCTTTATTCTTATCTTCTGGCTGGGCCAAAGAATATTTTCACAAATTTCAAGTGCCTTCAAAGTAAACTACAGAGGCAACACTAAGAACTCCTGCTCTTAACAAATTCACTAACACTGTGGATACATTGTAGGTACTTATTGTAGATGGGCCTTCAGTTCTGATGTTTCTTTTAAGTGACAGTCTAGACCATTTTATTGTGAACATATATGTAGTCACTCTTCTAAGATGAAAGGATTCCATTCCATGTAAATATTAAATCATGTTTATTACTAGCAATCCAATCCACACAGAAAAATACTTGTCTATAGAACTCAAAATTCTGAGAAAAACCTGAATTATTTATTCTAGAAGAAAATTTCCTTCTCAGAAGTAAGTTTTCTCATTTGAATATAAAGCTATAAATCCATTTTGCTAGGGAGGTTTTCTTGTTTGTTTTAAAATTTTATCCAATATACTAGTCTTCTACAACTGGGGCCAAGAAAGTGTAATGCAAACTAAGGATAGAAGCATTTTCTAGAGAAGTGGGGAAATAGAGACCATAAGGTAGGTAATATGAAAAGACTAAGACTCCTTTCCTTCAAAATAACAATTTGCTTATGTTTAAAAGTTGTTCAAAAGTCACACTAATTTTTTAAAAACAGAGGATTAAATAGTCAAGTTTTAAAAAATAATTAATGTACCTTTTGTATAAAACTGAATCAGGAAAATAAACAAAAACAAAACAAAAGCAGCATGATGTGTAAACTCTTAAAGAGTCAATACCTACTGTTCTTTAGGGTATGTATAGGAGTTGCTTATGGTCAAATATCACATCTGGCCATGCCATGAATAAATATCTAAATCACAAAATGTAATTTCAAACTGGAAGAACACACAAGGAAGCTAACCTCAGTTGCAATACATGTAAAATACTGAAAAATTAAAATAGTCTTTACAGTAACAAAGCTATCACAAGTGCTAGAAAATGTCATATTAACAAATAGCTTTCAGTGTGGCTAGTGCATAAACACAGAGAGAAGGATCAAAATTATTTCCAAATATTCCCTTTCTAATAAATTCATATTCTTACAAGTGAATTAAAATAGGAAAATTACATGATGAGAGTTGCATTTTTTGAATAAACTCAATGTATATAAGCACAATGTATCAAAGCAGTAGTGAAGAAAAAACAATCAATTACTTAGGTTTCTTTATTCACAAAATTGTAATCTGAAATGGTGCTCCAAAAAATGACTGTTTCCAATATTATTATATATTATCCAGGTCAATTACAGAGAATGAGCCCAAAATCCCTGGGCATCTAAATTCTAAGACTGGGGCAAAGAACTCTACATTTTATAGAGTTGATCCAAGAGGCAGCATTAGGTTTAAAAAAAAAAAAAAAAAAGGTGGTGAGGGGAGGCTAGCATCAAATCTTCACTTTTGAAAAATAACTGTTGATGCTGATGAAGTGACAGTCATCATTAAAAAGCCTGGGCAAACTGCTGAAGACTGGGCCATCGGAACACAAGTTTATCTACAAAAAAAGCTACATTATAACATACTTAACATGGCAGCCTACTCTATGCCAAAGTTTCATTTTAAAAACTCATTCACTTAAGGTTCCTAATTCCACATGGTTTTTAGAAGATTGTGACACAGAGAAAAAGGCTGGCGTAAAATTTAAAGTACCATCCAACCCTTAATTCTTTTAGGCCCCAAAACAAGAAGCCCACTTTAGAACACGTGAATAAGGTGTTTTAAATGAAAAACCACAAAAAGCACATAAGTGAGGGCAAATGTAGCACTGTATTCAAACAAGTGACTACTTTTAAAAACTGGAATATATTCTATTATAAAGCAATGCCTGACACTAAAAATAGGCGATGGGCTGAATCACACATGAAAAAAAATCCCTAAATATAAAACTCAGGTTATTTTTTTACAGAATAGCCCCAACACCTCCCTCCCATTCTCCCCAACCACCCCCTTCCCACCAAAATAGTATATAACAACACGCTTTACTAAATTTTTCCTCCCTAAAGAGTTTCCTGTAATCTGACAGTGCTAGGAAAAGTCACTCTCACATTCACTTTCATGAGTAAGGGTAATAACAATATAGTGTACAAGTTATAATGTCCTTTTATCATATCAGCATTGACAGATGTTCCAACAGCAACATGAAGACTCGAACAGGATAATCTTGTAGCTGCAAACTCCACTTCATCTTGTTTTCCTTTTCTTAAAAAGCTAGCAAACAAAAAATGCATCCATCGGGAGCACGGGGCAGAGGGAGTGTCATAAAAGTATAAATCACTGAATCTTTCGAATGATAAAATGCAGTGCTAAAGTCACCTCTAAAATTCTGAAAGATCAGAATTCACAAGAAATTATTGAAATGACTAAAACATCCAAAAAAGAAATACATATTTTCATCACTCTATTCCTTGTTACATACAAAATTCACCTGGGTAATCTAACAGCTGTTTTAGCTATCAAATTTCATTCCAAGGAAAAGTTTGATAGTTATAAAGTGATGGCACTGTCTTTAATGTGCTTCATTTATCCAAAAAAAAAAAATTTTTTTTTTTCAAAAGAAAAATAGAATTTCCATTATGACCTTCATACTTTATTGCTAGTTACTTTCAAGCCCCGCTACCCGCTCAAAAGATATATAACTTACAGACCCCAAAGCAGTGTTAACAATTTTCTGGTTAGCAGAAAGTATTTGGTTTTTTTTCAGATGCAGTGACTGAGTTATACTCTCTAACTAGTTACAATAACAAAACATTTCCATATATATCAGCTGTTGGTCAGACTATGCTTTTTAAAGTGTTCTAGGATAATACATTTGTAAATCCAGTGGCTCCACCTTTCTATCATTTATCCAAGATTGATGAGAGGGTTTTTGTTTTTATAAAAGTCTTCACAAGTTAAATAATTTCTATTAAAAAAGTTCTCACGCTAATCCCACCCCCCAAAAAGCAATCTCTCTTCAATGTACACATCATTCATACACACACATACACACACACACCTGTTGCCATGTGGTTTTTTGCAAAACCCACACTGCTTGCTGGGAGTCCACATATATTTGCTTTCAAATGAGGAGCTATGATCTGAGCCTTCTCTTTTTATTGTAGCTATGTTGTCTGGAATGAACAATGGTGGCTCATCCAAAGAAAAACTTTTGCTGCTTCTTCTTTGGCGGGGTTGTAGGTTCTTCTCAGGTTTCTTTAGTTTCAGTTTATCCTCCTCCTTAAAATGCTCAATGCCTGGGTGATCAAGCTCTTCCTTTACATGACTATTGGTTTTCAATGCTGGGGCCTGCTGCTGAGGCTTATGGCACTGCTTCTGGCTGGAATGTAGTAAATGTCCAGTTTGTGCAGAATGATGAGGTTCTTTAGAATAACCAAGATGACCATGAGGCTTATCACTCAAAGAATGAATTAATGGTTTGGAAATATGTACTAAATTTTGATCCTGTGATGTTTTTTTCAATACAGAATGGGCTTGGTTTTTCACAGATTTAACCCCAGAATTGCAACTCTCAATCTTTGAATCTTTACCGACTTGTTTTTTTCTCACTTTGACTGGCCTATGGAAACTTTTCTGAGATTGTGGCTCATCAGCATTTCGTTTCATATTTCTGACATTAACTTTACTTTTGTTTTGCATTATGTCATGCTTTGATGCAACAATTTTCTTTGGAGGATCTGCAGTCACGTTTTGCTTAGAATGAGTCATAGGTTTTGAATGTTTGGATTTAATGTTTTTTGATTCTAAGCAAGAAACAATACTTGACTGGCTGTTTCTGTCATCCTGAAGGTTTGCTGTTTCAAGCGACTCCACTTTAATACTATCAATAATATTCAACTGTCTTGAATTTTGGTCTGGTGCACCACAAATAGCATTTTCTAAAATATTACTTTCTCGTTCAAAAGCACTAGTATCGACCACCTCTAAGTCTGATTTATTCAACTCGGTGCTCTGCAACTGCTTATCATTAGACACTGTGTCTTCACAATAATCCAGTGGTTCCATTTTATTTCTCTGAAGGGAGTTCTCAACTTTACCGGAAACATCCATGGTATTTTTCGATTCCAAATTACATTCAGTCACTTCATCCACAGAACTAGACAAAACTATAAGGTTCTTTTCTGTTTTATTTGGATTCATACAATCAGTATCATCAGATATATTGTTTCACATGGAAATTCTTCACAATGATTCTTTCTTAATTTAATACTTGAGGGGCCAAAACATACCTATTCATCAGTTGCTTAAGCTCATTCACTGAGCGTGGTGGCAGAATGAGATTTCCTATTAGCAGAACTCCCAAATGTCATTATCCTACCAATTTGTCAATGCTCATTATAAATGAGAACAGCACTTCCCCTGTTAACAGGGTAACTATGTCAGATAGTAATTATAACCTTAAGTGACACAAACATATTCACTCAACATGCACTAATGATCGTTTACGATGGACTGAACTCTTGGAAATGTCACACTACATCAAAATTGCTTACATGTCTTCCTTTTGACAAATGCCATATGGCCAGTTCTGCCATTAGCAAGTTCACATAATTGTGACCATGATTATCGAGGCTGATTCCTTGGCTTGCCTGGAGACCAGGGCCAAGGGAAATGGAAACACATACCTAGGGAAATCTATTAACCAATTACTCAGAAAACAAAAGCACTAACCTGCCTCTTCAGTTCTTACTTTTTCTGAGGGTAAACTGGGTTCTCCACCTCCAATTTTGTTACTGGCTACAACCCGAAATTCGTATTCCACCCAAGGGTTTAACTCGACTACAGTAGCTGTGTGTGTCTTCCCATTGATGACCTCAGGCACTGCAAAGGAGTATTTCAGAGAGGTAAGAGTCTGCATGCTCACCATGGACTTGAAATCCATTTATATGTGCTGATGGCATCTGCCTCTCCCCCTTTACCTGTTGTGACAGTTTGCCAACCCACGGAGAAAGGTGTCCTAGCCTGGATAGAATAGGATGTAACTGGGCTGTGGTTGTCTATACCTTCTTTCCAAGAGAGTTGGGCTGTTGTATCTGTAATTTCATCTACCTTCACATTTTCTGGTGGTCCAGGGGAACCTAAAAAAGGGATGAATGCAAACAGTGGGTAGCAGTTCCATAAATGTCATCCCTTTTTAACCAGGGAAGAGTGTGTCAGAGTGTGTCACATGACCACTTCAATAGCTCCAACTGATCTCAATTTCAAAGGCACTTAGGGAAAGGACCATTTACCTGGCAATAAAACTACCATTTTTTTTT